TACAAATTTAAGAAACCAAAGTTCTTGCTTTTAGTTAATCTTACAAATCAGCAGCAGAACCAGAGGAAACAAGTTTGCTCCTCAAAATAAATTTCTAAACATTAAATTTTCCACTTTATAAAGTAATTGTTCACATGTTCTCTGAACCCCCCCTGCCCTAAAATCCCAAAGATGGAACTAAAACAACCCCACACTGGTAGGTGGCGATGAGGACCTTAAATGATTGGAGCCTTTCTTTGACACTGTTCACCACTTTCCAGCAGACGTTTAAAGTTTATGGGGAGAATGTCAAAATAAAGAAATGCTGATATAAGGAAAGTCTAAATGTCCTCCTATGGCAGAGAGGGAGAGTTGGCCTTATTATGGTGTAGAAAATAAACAGGAATAGAAATCTCTTTTTATCAAACTAATCAAGTGAAAAAAAGAAAACTTGAAAAACAAAAAAAATAAATAAATAACCCAAACCCAACAATTTCTAAAATGTCAATCTAACATATTTTGGGAAAAATAATCTCTGCCATCACTGATCCACCATGACAGAACTGAAAAGAGGGCACCTTACTTGTGGTCTGAAATCAGAATTTGTGGTTTCTCTCCCTCTGAGCTGACTTTGCTCCTCAGGTGTGGCTCATACACTTCCATCTCTAAAACCATAGTTCAGGAAAAATTTGACAGCACTCTTTCTGCCTGAGGATGGTTCATTGTTAGAGAGGTGGTAGTAAACTTTTCTAACCCAGGTCGTTTTCTTTCAACATTCCGAAAACAACTTGGATAAAAAGAAAACTCTTAAACTAAACAGCGATAAAAGTGCAACAGCTTCATTTTTTAATCACCAATAAAATAAAACCATAAAAATGAATTGGTTCAGGGGGGGGTTTCTGTTGTTTTCCAGTGTATATATAATTTATTTATCATGTATTATGTCTTTGGAACAGGGGCCTTAACAGCGACCAGGGGCCGGTTCTACAGGGACACTAGCCCCTTTTGGCCACTGTCTAGAACCACCCATATCTGGTGGCATCAAACAGAATTCATTTGAGTAACCCTAATTTATCTTAATAATTTCAAACATCTTTGTAAATGTTAATTTTTTTTAATTCCATTTATTTATTTAAATCAGAATTCTGACTTTAATCTAAAAAAATCTCTGATTTTTAAATATTTCAGTTTAATATGTGAAAAAAGTCAGCATTCTTAATCTCAGAATTCTGAGTTTTTTTCCTCAGAATTCTGAATTTAATCTCAGGAAGAGGATTAGGGCAACTGAAAAAATTAAAAAAAGTTAACAAATTTTTAAATATTTCAGTTTAATATGGGAAAAAAGTCAGAATTTTGAGATTAAAGTCAGAATTCTGACTTTAATCTCA